CTTTCCCTAGCCAGGGAGATGTGGGGTGGGGGAGGAGAATCGGTAATTACAGTGTGTTGGAGCAGACTCCAGCATCACATGCATCAGCCTCACCACACTGAAAAATGGCTCATTCGATAAGCTTTAGTTCAAGCGCCCTTGCCACCATTTTTCAGTGCAGAGGCACTGAAACACGTGATGTTCTAGACAATTTAATTAGAGCAGCTCTCAAAGCCGCTCTAATTAAAGTGCCCCTTTCCCCCCTTCTGGAGCATGTCTATAAACACCTTATGTTCTTACACAGAGTGTCCTGTAAGACTGATGGGAGGTATAGATGCAACAGGGGAAAAAAAAAAAAAAAAAAAAAAAAATCAGAACATTCAACTGGCAGGCATTTGGCAGTAATAGTCCTGATTATTAAATCAAATTTACTTAAAGAAAAGGAAACTGCTGAAATATACAAGCACCACTTACTCTTGTAGCTTAACTTTTTCTTTTTAATAAAATAATGTTAATTTAATTTGTAAGATATAGGATAATTAAACTGAGCCAGTGCCAGGCATAATGCACCAGTGAAGGTTTAAGCAGGAACTGTATCAGTTTAAATACAAAGCACCTAAACAGTCATCTGTTTACACTTCAGTTCTGGTCCCTCGTGAGAGATCATGCTCAACTCTGGTATTTGTGCCTCACATTATATTATAGTCAAGAATAACAAGCAGGTACCTTCTTTTTGGAATTTCACAGTATAACCAACCTAGAATTTAAACTTGGGTCCTCTGGAAGCACCAAATGCCATACTATTTATTCAAAATCGTTCTCTGAAGGCTAAAACTATGAATAATATGATTTGATCACAACAAAGTTTTTATCCAATAGAGAAATACAAAGAATAAATGAGTAATTTGAAAAGCTTTACTTCCTTCCAGATAGACACTTGAAGGAATAATGAACAAACACAAGGGCATTAAAACAGTGCCCAATTAGTAAAGTTTTAGTTGCTGGAGATCTCTGAAAGAAACTAAGAATGTGCAAGAACCTTATAAAAAAGCACAGCTTGTTTTTAGGATGAAACTTCTTTTTCCTGAGAACTCCACATGAGAGTGCAAGCTACCTTCCTAGAATGCTTTGATAATAATGCAAAGATATATCAAAGAAAAACCGTAAACATTACAGTTGATTCAGTTTTCATTGAGCATTTTATGGAAGATATTTAGATGTTAATAAGTTACAGCAAAGATGCACCGAGAAGAAAACTTTTCTCAACTGTTAATTGGCAACAGAGAAACAACAATAAAACCACTTTTTCCAAAGAAGAAAATTATGTTTTAAGGATATTAAAATAATTTTCATGGTTTACAATACAGCAGATAAGTTACATGAATAACTGTTAGTCTAGGAATAAAAATAATATTAGTGCAAAGAAAACACCTGGTAAACAGCAGACAACTATATCAAGCAAAAATATGAGTACTGTCCTAATAAAAGTTAAACTGAATACCTAATCAGGAAACAAAAATTCCTGTCGAAAGTTACCTAAACCTTCAAGCCTAATGTGCTACCACAGAAAAGAAAATGAAATGGTACAAGGAATAATACAAAGAGGTATCATCACTGCAACGCCATAACATTGCACCAGCAACAGAAGCATTCTGAAGGAAGCTGTACAGAGACATTACTGGATCATAACTATTACAAAGTATTAACATTTTAATGTTTACCACCACAACCATCAAAACCAAAAAGTAACACTATTAAATAAACACTGAATTTATCTAAAAATAATTAACCGAAATGTAAAGATTCCTGGAACTTCTCATACACAGCAATGAACAGATAATTACTTCTACTGAGACGGCCTCATGCAATTAGGAAACAAATATTTTAAATGAAGCATTTAAGAATAAACTCATAAGAACCCATAAGAATATACATATATACATACAGGTAAACTGCCAATAAAGCAACATTTCATACATATCTACCTGTGCTCTAAATCACTTATCATTACATTATATAAGCACTGTAAAAGGTAAAAGTAGCAAAAAGAAACCATCAAAAAAAGCATTTGACATACAAAACAAAGCTATATCTGCAAAAGAAATATTTCTATGGTTTCACACAGCAATAAATCCCTTTTCCTTCACACACACAATCATAGCATTTCATGTGTAGAACAGTAGTTCCTTAGATATTTAAAACTGAATGAGTTGCATTCTATAGCCTTGGAATTAAAAAAAAAGCAAAAACAAAAAAATGTGAATAACTGGAAAATATTCAAATATTTTACTAGATGCTACTCAAATATAGAATTATGATTGAGCAAGACTACACTGGTTAAAAGCCTGGCACACTAGAAATAAAAACTGTAAAAGGCCATACATGATAAATGGATAAAAAAAAGAAGTTGAAAAAAATTAATATAAATTAGAAGCAAGAAGTTGTTAAAAAAACAAAAACAAACACAAAACCCTAATGAAAAGTAAAGTAAAAGGCCAAACTGGTGACAAGCAAAATTAGAAACAAGAAAGTTAAGTATAACAGGAACAAAAATATCCTAACAATGTTATTGTTCTGTTATTAGCAAGACATGGAAGAATAATGAAGCAAAGGAAGAAATATTCAGTAAATACGCCTATTCTCTATTTGGGAAAAAACAGATGATAGTAGTCATATGATACGAAAATATTTTTAAGCTTCAACACATGTCAAGGAACTACCAAAATTGGACTCTTTGAGATCAGCAGGTCCAGATAAATTGCATCCAAAAATTGAGAGAACTGGCCAAGGGGCATTAATGTTAATTTTCTGTACTAGCCAGAAGAGAAATTTGATAATTAAGGACTTTTTAATCTAGCAGAAAAAGGAGTGAGATCCAATGCCTGGAAAAAAGGCCTAGACAAATTTAAATGAAAAATGTGCTCCTTATTTTGCACTGTAAGGCTAATTAACTATTGGAACAACTCAAAATGAAATATTTAAATGAAGAACAGATGCTTTCCTAAAAAAATAGGCTCTACTTGAGGCAGGAATTTATTCAGGGTAATATTATGGCCTGTGTAATATTACAGGATCAGTAAGCGTCATAAAGATCCCTTCTAGCCTTATAATCTATTATTCATTTTTAATTATGGGTCTGTCATCTTTTAAAGAAAGGTACTACATAAAGTACTCATTGTTCTTCAGTCCTCTTCTATTTGTCAGTGTAACTTTCCTATGTTCTGCATTCTGCTTCTGAGTTATGAAAGACCACTGCCTTGTTGGTAGGGCTTAAATTTATTACACACTATAAAGAATCAAGTTTTTACATGAACTTAAGAGCTGCACATATTGCTTTTAACCTAAGAGATTGGAATGTACTGTATTTACTCAAATCCAAGATGAGGTGTCCCCCCATAATTCAACAAAGGGGAACAAGCCCCTTGTTATCTTCTACCCTGCAGTGCCATTCCTCCCCCACTCCCTGGTATTTAAATCTAATACAAGGGACAAGGGTCTCAGGCACATGACTCCCCCTGCTGCCTCTCTCACCACCTTCCCCTCTACCGCTGCTTGTCCCACTGAGGGGGGATAAATTTAAGACAAACCTCCAATAATATGATTCTATACATGTAAAATTATAACAAATTTATAAATTTTCCATGTTCAGAATCTAATTATGGGGAGGTCATCTTAAATCTAAAGTCTTCTTGGATTCAGGTAAATACTGTACATATAAGGTTTCTCAGAATCACTGTAAATTCAGTAAACTAGGGAAAAGAGTCCTGAACCTAGATGTAGGCTACACCTACATTACAAACTACCATGCAGAACAGAAGTACATGAGCTTCAAAGTGTGCAAGCAGCAATCTACCTACAGATGGAGTGCTCCATGCAGTGGGCTGCCATGCTCCATGCTGCTCTGGCTATACTGTTTTACGCATCCAAATTGGAGATACCTACGGTAAGGTAAAACAAGCCAACACTACATGGCAGATGACAGTACAAATACACCCCAAAGTCTTGGTTATAGTCCTGCAACATGAGTAAAAGGCAAGGCTTCAACAGCACAGTACTGCCAAGAGAGATGCTTGTCAGCATGCACAGAACTTTAACGCAGGGGTATATTTTCTTGGCGAAAACCTGGACTTCAAATTTCAGGGGCCGGCATTGTTTAATAGATATTTTGGAGGACTGTACTTTTGGTTTTGGATATACAACTCGCACATAAAAGGTGCTGAAATCCTTTTGTGGAAGAGGGCCCAAGCAGCTAAAGCTCCCCTTACGCAAACACCATTCACATCCCCTCCTAGCCCAGGTTACACACACAACACAAGCCAAGCAACTCCGAAGCAAAAGCATTACCCCAGGCATTTCAAACATTCACATATTAGTCAAAGCTGCAGCTGAATGTATTTTTTTTTCCTTTGAGTTTTAATCTCAAGATTGAGAATTTTATTCTGATGCTAACTCAATGGTAAGAGAGGCCTAAACAACTGTTCTTAACTACTTATTAAGATTCTTGTAGTAGATTCTTAACTATATATTTTTTAATAAAGAGACACCAAATAACACAAGCGTTTCCAAAAGGATTGAGAGGAAAGAAGGAAGGAACTGTGGAGAAGTCCATAAATGTTCTTTTATTATTAAGATGTGAGCTTGAGACAACAATAATGGGTTTATACACTGCTATGACTTGAGCCATAGGATGCACCTCTTACAATGAAGTTCTGTACAGGCAATCTGACACACAGAAGTTGCAATGGATCAGACTGAAACATGGTAAAATTCCTCATCTCAACTGATCATTTGATTATTTTTGTCTGTTGTATGCATGTTTCTGGGGGCAGGGAGGGAGGGAGGCATCTCACAGAATAATGACTTTTACCTAGATTAGTTTTACCTCTTAAGCTCTTTTGAAAATCCCTACCTAAGCTTTCTGGGTTATTCTTACTTTGATTTTCAAGAGTGAGACAAAAAACAAAACAAAACAAATTTTCTCCACTCAAGGAGCTCATTTTAGACCAACGACTGCACTGTAAAACTTAATAAATTATTACTTTAAAGAAACTCATAATTTAACATGTTCTGCATCACACCAGACAATAATGTACGCAAACTGATAAGAGTATCTAGGAGACTGGTTTTCAACCTTTTTTTCTTTTGCAGGCCCCTAAAAAATTTTGAATGGAGGTGCGGACCTGTTTGAATTTAAGTGTGGGTATTCACGTACTTTTGATTCATCATAGTCCTCTTTCACAGACCCTTAGACAGTCTGCACACCAAGGGTCCACGGATCACAGGTTGAAAACCACTGATTTGAGGCGATTCCCTAGAAGTGCCCAGCAGATTGTAACCATTAAATATAATGTTAAATGTAGTCTTACCTTACAATAGGCAGTTTGGTGAATGGAACAGGGGGCAATTTCAAACCATCTGGAAGTGTGATCAACTCCATTGTGCCAGGACATTTTGAGGTGTAGTTTTCCAAACTCTGGGTTACATCTTTCTTTTCTAAAAGAGATTTTTTTTTCCCCAATTAAAGCTTTTTTTCCAAAAAGTTACAACACCCAAACACAAAAGGTAGAGCTAAGAATGAAGGTTCAGTCAACTCAGATTTCAACAGCTTTATTTATAAACTAGACACAAGACTGTACCATAATATTCAATTCTCTTTGTTCTGTAAAGGCTGCATCTAGCCAGTTAAAATGTATGCTTCATAAGCCTCACTGTTAAATAAAATTGTCACTTTAACACAAATTGCAACTGTATTTCTAAGCCTTACTTTCACAGAAGCTTGCACAATAAAATAAATGTGTCCAG